TAATCACATGAGGCAATGTGCACAGAAATTGAAAATCAAACTTACATTATGAACACGATGATGATGATAATGATGAATAATCCTACAAATGCCACTGTGATTCCCAACCAGACATGCCAACGCAGACCATGAGGCACTGAAAGATGAAGAATATGAGTTAAGATTGACTCTCAAAGCTACAACTGTCTAGAACCTTTATAAAATAAAACCTTCACCGGTCACTGATAACGCCGCTGATCTCTGAGATCCATGTTGATTGTGAGCCTCACAGTAGAAGCGTCCACTCTGTAGTGCACTGAAACTCTGTCCAGATCCAACAGCTGAGCTTTGATTCTCCTTAAACCAGCTGAAGTTCAGAGCAGGAGGGTTTGAATCACTGCTGCAGCTCAGAGTCACTGAATCTCCCTCCACTATTTCACCAGATCCAGTTATGGACACTGAGACGCTCCTGGGTGCGTCTAAAATAGATACAAATTTTAATTCACAAAAAATATTAGAAAATTATTAATTTGGATGTTAACAATGTGCAGATGATCATTAACTCACACATGACGTGTAAAGTCACAGCAGCAGAGTATTTCTCTCCATGTTCATTGATGGACTTGCACTTCAGATATGTTCCTCCTTTAAACCAGCTGATTTGTGCAGGAGGGTTTGAATCACTGCTGCAGATCAGAGTCACTGAATCTCCCTCCACTATTTCACCGGATGGACTGACGGAGATCACAGGATTCACTGGAGGATCTACAGGAGAAGTATTTAAATTTTAAACTCTAAATGAAAAATAAGAAAGTGAAAATCGTACTAAACATACAGTACGACAGTCAGCTTCAAAACATGAACATTAAACAGGGGCGCAGGAGACATTTTCAAAGTTGGGGGACCAAACCGCAAAAGCAGAGATAGTAAGGTCAGATTTCCAGATGTAGTACCACCACTTCAGGCTCACCGTTGGACCACCATCTTTTATTAAACTTGCCTGATCATTGATCTGGATTAAATCTTATTTGATCGTATTTATTCAATTTGGTTTCATATAGACCAATTTCAGTGTTTGCAAACAGTGATGACATTTTTGTGGGCGGAGCCTATCTGGTGGCAGAAAATGCCAGTTTTAACGTAACAGTCTATGCAAGCCATGAAATAAAAGAATAAAAAAGGTAATTTTGAGTTTATATTTCAAAATTCAGACTTTTCTCTTGCAATTCTGAGATTGTATCTCACAATTATGGTAAGAAAAATCAACTCGTCATTCTCTCTTTTCCCCTCGGCTCAGAATCATGAGTTTATAATCCCACACTTCTGCATTTTTTTTCTTCCTCAGAATGGACAAGCTCGCAATTGTTGAGTTGAATTAAGTTATAAAGTTCGAACTAGGAGATATAAACTTGCATTTGCGAGGAAAAAAAAAGTCAGAATTGTGTGATGTGATGTTATGTAAAATGTTATAGGTTTGAATAGTATTTCATGCTTTAACTGTAGGGCTAATACAATACATCCCCTATGTGAATATTATATAGATCTATTGTTTAAATCAAATTTATGCTTTAAAAGTAGGGTAATCATAGCAGGTTTCATCCATAGTCTGTCCGTTTTTAACGTCTGCGTTTAGCTTCAAATGGCGTCTTTGATGACACTATTCTATAAAAATAATTTGCATTCTGATTCGGACATCCAAAAGCATGACAGAACAGTTTTTCTCTTATTCCATGGATTTTACTCATTTCCCTTCACTTGCTCATAGTGTTTTTCTGCCACCACAACGCACGCGCAGCTGCAAGTGATGCAAATGTGATGTCTGCTCCAAACTGGTCTATACCAAAGGCTATATTTAAAAGAGTTGGTGGGTTAGAATTTTTGTTTAAATGTGATTTATAGATTTCTAAGTTGTCTGTTAGGCTTTCAAATTTCCACAAACAGATATTGCAGTACTAGAAAATGATATTTACCCACAACTTTACACCACATGGAGCCACCTTGTGGAATAATAGAGTTATTACAATAAACGGGAAGATGCTATTTAAACAAGAATGGTTTGAGAAAAAAGTTAATGTTGTCGATTTGATAGATGAAGATGGTCAGTTAATTCAGTATAACGCATTCATGGAGAAATTTGCGATAAAACGTTCCTTTAGAGAATATAATACTTTGTGTAGAGTCATCCCTCTTGAACTAAAACAATTAATAGAAAATACTCGAACATATTCTGATTTAAGACAGAACCATTTAGATCAGGGTCAGATGCACTATTCTCTAAATAATTAAAATGTGGAGATAAAATATACAACCATAATGAATATTTGTCATAACATCATTATATTATATGGGTTTAATGAATTTGCAGACAATTTAGTTATCTGTTACTGGCATGTGTATATTCACTGTCATAGAGGAGAGTGCCACTGAATGTGTAGCTGATATGAAGTGGGTTTTCAACAACAACAAAAAAAAAATCTAAGTACTGTAAAATCAGAACTTAAAAACTCTGGATAAAAAAAAAAAAAAACTCCCAATAAATGTCCAAACAGCAATTATATCACAGCATTTATTGTGTTATATCTTGTGCATCATTTGCATTTAGCATTTGATGTTGATTTGATAGTACACTTTATAATTGTTACTTATTATTGGCATCATTGTAAAGATTGAGAATTCATCGCACTGATTTTAAAATCAGTTGAGGTATCTGACAAAATATGACATAACATTGATCTTTTAAATGCAGCCTTAAAAGCCATATAGGCTATAATAGCCGATGTTGTTTTTAGATAAATCGCTCAGAGGGGTTTGACCAACCAGTTAGACAGACTAGGTTATTTATTTGTAGAAATCCTGCAAGCACCCCAATCCCAGCCATTTCTAATATACATTTGATTAATATGACTAAATATTATTGAATTGTAATGAAATTGCAGATCCATCTTTGATTGTCAAAAGAATTCCAGGTGCAGTTCCCTCTCAGCCAATTAGATTTAACGTAGCATTTTCATCGGTCCGTCCTGGAAGTCTGATAGGTTGATAACTTTTGACAACGTTTAGTCCAGGTGCGAAAATAATTAATTTCTATCGCAAGAGCACGGAGAGATTTGCGAGTGCACATGACGCAGTTTGAGCGTGCACACTTTGAGCGAGAGGAGAGATTCGTGATTGTCGCGGACCCATTTTAAGTGCGCGCACACCCTCTGGGCGAGAGCAGCGTATATCAGCCCATTACACATCACTCATATAACTTGTCCGCATGGTCACAAAAAAATGGGAGGCACGCGGATATCCGCTCTGAGCCTCCGCGTACACCCTCCAATGACGATTTTTTACATCACGCGAACCTTAGCGGACTCTCGCACACTCGGAAAGTAGCCTATAACAGAGGCTTTAGTGCGAGAGCAAAGGAAATCCATGTGTGAATGGAGAGATTTGCACTCGCGCATCATATTAATGTACTTTCGCGCTACAAC